AAGTTCACACTCCTCCCAAGCCAGTGAGTGTCACTCCTGCACTAGTGTTTAGCGTAGAGCTAGCTCCTCAGAGGAGACTCATCATTTGTGGGATCCCAGGTGGACCCCAAGTAGTTGAAATCTTTCCAAACGGAAGAAAAACTATATACAGAAACATTTCATCAAACAGCAATATTCTCCAAACGTCTCCCTCCCACTTCCTTGTTACTATCGTAAAATTATTCCATGTTTCCTAAAACTTCTGCCTTCTCTGAAACCAACAGCCTGGGGCAAGTTTTTGTAGCAAACAGCATTCTGTGCTGTCAGATTTAGCAACCGACACCAGACTCAGTCACAGAAAACATACTTTCCTCACTTTTTCACCATGAAAGCTTTGTGGCAGATAATTCAAAATCTAGAAAGTGTGTGTGTGTGTGTGTGTGTGTGTGTGTGTGTGTGTGTGTGTGTGTAACACTGATCTGCAATCAATCCTGCTATAAATGCAACTGGTAATTATAGTAATTTTATTAGACTTTTATATCATGGTTTTGAGAAGGACTGAACCATAGGGCTTTAGATCTGGGAGAGGCCTCTGAGATCATCCAGTTGAATTCTCTCAGTGATAGCAACAAACATTTATTGAGACCCTCTCTGTGAAATGGATTCAAGGGCAAATACAGAAATGAATAAACTTGGTGCCTGCCCTCAGGGAGTTCACAGTCAATGCTGGGGACTGTTTGGGGTTTTAGGAAGAGGGAAGGAAAGAGAGAGACCTAGAGTAACTTAGCCTGTTTAGGAAATCAGGAAGGCTCTAGCTGATTTGGCTCAGTGGATAGAGCATTGGCCCTCGGACTAAAGGGTCTCAGATTCAATTTGGTCAAGGGCACATGCCCGGGTTGCAGGCTTGATCCTCAGTAGGGGGTGTGCTGGAGGCAGCCGATCAATAATTCTCTCTCATCATTGATGTTTCTATTTCTCTCTCCATCTCCCTTCCTCTCTGAAATCAATAAAGAAATATTAAAAAATAAAAAAGAAATCAGGAAGGCTTGTCAGAGGAGGTGACATTGGAGCTGTATTTGAAAGAAGGCGTAGGAATTGCCAAGCAGGCAGGGATGAGGAAACAGGTGCAGAAAAATGAAGTGACATAGTCAAGGCCCCACAGCCATTTAGAAGCAGAACAAGACCCGAGGTCAGGCCTTCTGCCTCCGTCCTGTATTCCTGAGATACCGCAGGTGGAGCCCACCCTCCAGTCCTACCTTAGCCAGTAGCTAAAAGTGAAAATAATCTTGCCTTAAACTTTACTCAGAATTCTTATTTTTAAAAGAATATTCAAAATGAAACTTTCTAAGCCATTCTCTCTCTCTCTCCCCTCTCTCTCTCTCTCTCTCTCTCTCTCTCTCTCTCTCTCTCTCTCTCTCTCTCTCTCTCTCTCTCAGTGTTTAGGAAGCCACTTATAAAGTAAAGGTATTAGGAAGATGGATACTTCCAGGCAAAGCAAGTGAGAGCAGAATTACCTGGGGCCATGGCTTGTGAGGACCCAACCACTTTGCCCTGAAACGAGAACTTATGCTGGGTTAGACCCTCTTGTTCTTACCCGTTAGTGTAAAATTGCTCATGTTAGCAGAGGAACAACATGGAGCAAGTGGAATTTCCCACCCACTCATGAAAGGAACCACACATTTGAACCCTATTTCCAAACTTTTAAAGTAGCTTCCAAGTTGATAGTGGCCGACAATTGGGAAAGACCTTTCTGGGAAGTGTACCATGCGATGAGTTCCTCCCCATCTCCCTGTCTTTTCCCTTCTCTATCCATATCCACGCCATTCTTCACGCCCACCTCCTCTGAGAAGCCTTCCCCTCTGCTGGTTTTGCCCCAGATAAGCTGTCCCCATAAGTTGGCCCTGTAATCGTCTATGTCCATGGCCCATAGTGCTTTGCAGCAGTTAAAGCTCCATGCCCTTGTGTGTGGATGCCTTGTCTGCACGGTTGCTCTCAATTTCAGACGCACAGAATTTTAGAACAGAAAGCAGTCCTAGGGGTCACCTCTGCCCTCACCTTGATTTCACATATGAGGAAGGTGAGATAGGCTGGAAGTTGCTTTAGGTCACCCAGCATGGTGCCAGAAGAATGGACCCCAGGCCAGGTTTCCTCACCTCCACGCGGAGCCGCTTCACGTCCTGTGCTGCTGCCCGGGTGGCAGTGTCATCTCATGCCCCCACTGAGGCTGCAAATGTCCCGTAGGCAAGACTCGTCTTCTGTGGTAGCATCTCATCTACCAGAGGCCTTCGCCTTGGCTTCAAGACTTAGTTGTGAACTGAGATGTGGTTGAATCCTTAACTCTGCCCACCTTTCCTCTACTTTCAACTCTGAGTGCAGACTCACTCTGAGGCCTTGGTGAGTCACTGCCCTTCCTCGGCTCAGTTTCCTTCTCTATTAAATGAAAGCTTTGGGCTAGATCAGTGGTTCTCAACCTTCTGGCCCTTTAAATACAGTTCCTCATGTTGTGACCCAACCATGAAATTATTTCCGTTGCTACTTCATAACTGTAATGTTGCTACTGTTATGAATCGTAATGTAAATATCTGATATGCAGGATGGTCTTAGGCGACCCCTGTGAAAGGGTCGTTCGACCGCCAAAGGGGTCTCAACCCACAGGTTGAGAACCGCTGGGCTAGATGGTCTCTTGAATCCCTTTAAGTTCTAAAAGTTCTAGAATTCTGTACCTTTCAGCTGAGTCCTTTGGTGTCTTCAGGATTGGCCTCTCTGTCCCCCAGATCTGCCACCTCGCTCATTCTCCTGGCTTACTATGGAGTGAATTTCTTTAAGGCCCAGAGAGCATAATAGTATTGAAGAAGACCAGGCTTGGCATCCTAAGGCCTGGGTTTGAATCTTGCCTCCATGCCACTGTATCTGTGTGGCCTTCAGCAAGTCACTTCATCTCCCAGCCACCTTAAATTAAAAAAAAAAGGGGGGAATAACCATACATCCTTTTGGATTTGGTGATAGTGAAATGAGACAAACTTTGTGGAAATACATGGCACAAAGAAGATAGTCACATATAGTGACTTCTCTCCTTTGTTCCACACCCAGCATTTGGGAAGAGGGCAGTTCGGCATGCATAGATTTTCTAGCTAATGGCTGTACTAACTGGAGCTACACAACATTGACTACTTTTTTACTAAAACCTTTCTGAAATGAATTTGATATTTCATGACGTGTCACTCAGACAGTCCCAAAGTATGAGGAAGAATTAGAGAAAGGAACATCTTTCAAGAGGGGCATCATAGCAGATGGTAAGCGAAATAGGCCAGTCAGAGAGAGACAACTATCACATAATCTCACTTATATGTGGAATCTCATGAACAAAATAAACTGACCAACAACATAAGGAATGCAGGGGGCAACGGGAATATGAAAGGAAACTCCTATGCCTTTTTTTACGTGTATTTTTTATTGTTGACATTATTATGGATGTCCCCTATTTTCTTCACACTTCCTCCTCTCCGCCCCACCCCCAGCCATCACCACACTGTTGTCTGTGTCCATGGGCAGAGCATATATGCATATAAGTTCTTTGGTTAACTTTGGTTAATCTCTTCCCATCCCACCGCCCTTCTCCACCTTCCCTCTGAGATTTGTCAGTCTTTTCCATGTTTCCATGCTTCTGGGCTTTATTTTGTTGGTCAGTTTATTTTGTTCATTAGATTCCACATATGAGTGAGGTCACATGATACTTGTCTTTCTCTGACTGGCTTATGTTGCTTAGCGTAATACTCTCCAGTTCCTTCTGTGTTATCTCAAAGGATAAGAGATCCTTCTTTTTAACAGCTGCATAGTATTCCATGGTGGGAATGTACCACAGCTTTCTTATGCACACTTGGGCTGTTTCCAGATCTATGCCTTGTAAAGGAGCTTGGATATTTTCATTTCTCCGCCATTGAATGGTTTTAAGTAGGAGAATGTTTCAGAGACATCATTACTCAGGCTGCTGGGTGGTAAATGAATCAGGGAAGGGGGAGTAGGGAAGGGGAGGGGAGGAGAGGGGAGGGAGCAAAAGAGGAAGCTGAGAGGCTGGCCATGCAGCTGTTGGTTAGCAGGTGTGGAGGGAACCGGACTAAGGCTTGAAAAATCAGAGGTGGGAAAAGATAGGTTTACAAATGCTCAGTAGCTTTAAAAACCAGATTCCTCGAATATCAGCTCATTGTGAAAAAAAAAAACAACACAGGAAAGTGTAAAGACCACAAGAATCACCCAATAACCGAGCATCCAAAGATAGCCCTGCTAACAGGTTGAACTATTTTTTTCACTAATATTTTTTGCAAAAAGTTTCTAATGTATTTGTAGATACAAATTTGATTTATAAAAAAAAAAAAAAAAAGTTCAGGCAGACATTTTCCAGCACACAACTCTTAATGTCAGTGGAGATATATCTTAGTAAGAGTAAAAATAATGTAAGATTGTTTGTTAATCCTCACCCAAAGATACTTTTCCATTGATTTTTAGAGAGAGTGGAAAGGAGGGTTGGGACAGAAACATCAGTGTGAGAGAGAGAGACACATTGATTGGTTGCTTTCCGCACACACCCTGACCGGGACCCAATTTAACCTGCAACCCAGGTATGTGCACTTGACCAGGAATTAAACCCGAGACCCATTGGTGCTTTGGCTGACGCTCTAACCACTGAGTACACTGGCCAAGGCTATATCTATAAAAATAAAAGTATAATATGCTAATTAGACCAGACGTCCTTCCAGACGACCTTCCAGACAAAGCCAGTGGCCGAAGGGAAGCCCGGGTCCCAGGTGCCGGAGGGAAGCCGGTGCCGGCAGCCGGGGGAAGGAAGGCCTACTCTTGCACGAATTTCGGCATTGGGCCTCTAGTAACATATAATTCTTAACTTCATTGGTTGCTTTCAGTGACTGGGCAAGAAGAGCTCAAATGTGTTAACCTGAGGCTTGATTCCTGGGCCTTCTGTTTGGGGAAGGTTCTGTTTTCAGCTCTCCTTCTCTTTTCTCCCCCAGAATCGGTGGATAACTGCCCCAGCAACTGCTACGGCAATGGGGACTGCATCTCTGGGACCTGCCACTGCTTCCTGGGCTTCCTGGGCCCCGACTGCGGCAGAGGTGAGAGCCCCGGTGTGGACCTGCGATTTCCACTCCCCATGCCCCGTGGGAGCTCAGGTCCCACTCCTCAGAGCCAGTGCAGAACTCCAGGCCACTCTTTTAAAAATATATATGTATATATTTTTATTGATTTCAGAGAGGAAAGGAGGAGAGAGAGAGATAGAAACATCCATGATGAAAGAGAATTATCGATTAGCTGCCTCCTGCACACCCCCCACTAGGGGTAGAGCCTGCAACCCAAGCATGTGCCTTTGACCGGAATCTAACCGGAGATCCTTCAGTCCGCAGGCCAACACTCTACCCACTGAGCCAAACCAGGTAGGGTTCCAGGCCACTCTTGACTCTCGCGAGAAGGGCTCCCAAGGGCCATCCTTCAGAAACCCTGTGAGGGAGGTCTTCAGGCCACTTGACCCACAGGTGCATGACCAGGAGGTCAGGAAGGAAGGGGCAGCCACAGTTAACCTCATGTCGCCTTGTGGGGGCAGAAGGAGTGGCATGGGGGTCCTTGAAAAGCGGATTTCCCCTGAGAGGAGTGATCAACCTTTGCCAAGTGTCTTCGAAGTTCACCTTCAGCTAGCGTGGTTTCCCCTGGCCCAGAGAAGGGAGGCCTGGTTTCTTGCTCAGTTAATGCCTTCTAACAGCACAGGCAGCATCATGGCTGAGACCACCAAGGACTCGGGAGGTGGGCGAGACTGCTCTCCTCCACACAGGACCCCAGTGTTGCTTCAGATTTGGGCACATAGGGTCTAATGATAATCCCCTGGCGATAGTTTCAAGGCTGCCATGATCTACCGTTTGCCTTTGGCCTTCATTATTGTCCTGCAAGAATCAACAAGGAAAACACCAAAGGAGATCTGTCATCCTGAGATTTTGGCACGCCCTTTGGGGAAACTCCCTTTGGTTTTTCTCCCTCATCAGTCATCTGCTTTGTGTCCTTTCGGGCTTGGTCCTGTGCTAGACACTGAGCAAGCCCAGGAGTTCTCTGCCTGGGAAACAGACAAAATCGACGATTACAAAGCGGCTAGTAGGTGAGAAACACGGTAGGGAGGTCACGTGCAGGGAGTGCCTATCGGAGGGAAAGGGAGCAGCTGTCTCAGCTTGGATGGTGAGGACCAGGAAGGGCTCCCAGGTGAGGTGCTCCTGGAACTGAGACCTGATGCCTGAGTCATTGCTCATTGGTGGAAGCCAGAGATGGCTCCCCAGGCCAAAAACACAGTGAGGTGGCACTGCTTTGGGGATTCTGCTTATTCTTTCTAAGGTGAAATAGACTCAGTTTGAGGCAGCAAAGCCTGCAGCCCCCAGGAAGCACAGTGATTCCCCTGCCAAGCGCTTTCTAAAGAAAAGCTGCCAGGTGGGGGCAGGGACAGTGGTTTGAGAGAGAAGGGATGAGTCATCCCTTCTAACGAGAATTACCATCTCATCCCGTATGCACTTAGAGTGAAGAGCCCTGTATAAAACAGCCTCTTAGTGAAGCTCACTAAGGCTGGTGGGTACTTACAGCACACTGAAATATAATTTATTTTTATATAGTGTTCTTTGTACAGATGTTCACAAAACGCTAAGAGGCAGAATGCAAAGATAATACTTTCAAGAGCTAAGTTGGGCTCAGCTACTCTCTTATGGGGCCATGGTTTATGGGTTTGAGTGGAGGCCTGAAAAGCAAGGAAAACGGAGAGAAAGCTGGGTTAAAGACAACAGTAAGTGTGCTGCAGATGAGGGTGGGGAAGCAAAACGGAGCGCTATTAGGAGAGCGTTGGAGGAGGGATATGGGCAGGCAGGAGGTCCAGCTGTCTTTCCCAGGGAGCCCCAGGAACTCACTGGGGTCCTAGCAACCACCATGCTGCCCCAGTAATATTAGGGGGTGGGAGGGAGCAGGGTTCACTGGGCATCAGCTCCACCAGGCCGTGCACTGCACACCTTCACCTACAGCTCCAGATGTGTTTAATCCGGAATTAAATAAAACCAGAGAAGCAGACAGATGGGCACACGTGAGAATTGTGGCAAAGCACTGGAGGCTCTTGGTCAAGCCAGCAGGTGGAGGGGAGAAAGGGACAAAGGCTGGTGGGGGATGCTGGGCTTTGGTTCACACCAGGCTTCCTGTGCTTTCTCCCCAGCCTCCTGCCCCGTACTCTGTAGTGGGAACGGCCAGTACATGAAGGGCCGGTGTCTGTGCCACAGCGGCTGGAAGGGCGCCGAGTGTGACGTGCCCACCAACCAGTGTATCGATGTGGCCTGCAGCAACCATGGCACCTGCATCATGGGCACCTGCATCTGCAACCCCGGCTATAAGGGCGAGAACTGCGAGGAAGGTAAGATGCGTGCAGGCAGCCCAGCACCTTCCTCAACTTAGAGGGTAGCGCACGGGGCCAAGAGGACATCCGGGCAGCAGAGGAAGCCACCCTGTGACCCCCACCCTGAGCCAGGAGCCCATCAGCAATAGTAATGAACCTAAAGAAGAGGACAGACAAATGCAGTCCTACTCAGTGAAGGGCACAGAAGTGTTGGACCAAGTACTTACTATACCCAAGGCTTTGTGCTGGATGCCTTGCATTATTTAACTGCAAACCCTGGTAGGGCGGGGAAATCATCTTCATTTTATAGTCGAGAACATGGAGACTCTAAGAGTCAAATGGCTTGCCTGAGGTCACGCAGCTAGCCAATGGCAGGGTTGGGTTTGAGCCCAATCTCTCTGTCTCCATAGCCCAAGGTCTTTCCACTCCCCTTTTAGCTCATTCACTCCCCATTTCTGAAGTATGAGTGTATTTAGACCTCCAAACTCTGCCTTCCATTATCACACTCATATGTGTGTGTGTGTGTGTGTGTGTGTGTGTGTGTGTGTGTTCATACATGTAGCTCTCAGGTGCTCAAAGGAATGTCTCTCTCCTTCATAAAGTAAATACAGGGTGTCCCCCCAAAATGTGTACACACTTTATTTTTTAATTAAATCTTTATTGTTCATATTATTACAGTTGTTCCTCTTTTTTCCCCCCATAGCTCCCCTCCACCCGGTTCCCACCCCACCCTCTGCCCTTACCCCCCCCCCCAGTGTCCTCATCCATAGGTGTACAATTTTTTTCCAGTCTCTTCACGCACTCCCCACATCCCTTTCCCCTGAGAATTGTCAGTCCACTCCCTTTCTATGCCCCTGATTCTATTATATTCACCAGTTTATTCTGTTCATTAGATTATTTATTCACTTGATTTTTAGATTCGCTTGTTGATAGATATGTATTTGTTGTTAATAATTTTTATCTTTACCTTTTTCTTCTTCTTCCTCTTCTTAAAGGATACCTTGCAGCACTTCATATAATACTGGTTTGGTGGTGATGAACTCCTTTAGCTTTTTCTTATCTGTGAAGCTCTTTATCTGACCTTCAATTCTGAATGATAGCTTTGCTGGGTAAAGTAATCTTGGTTGTAGGTTCTTGCTATTCATCACTTTGAATATTTCTTGCCACTCCCTTCTGGCCTGCATAGTTTCTATTGAGAAATCAGCTGATAGTCGTATGGGTACTCCCTTGTAAGTAACTAACTGTTTTTCTCTTGCTGCTTTTAAGATTCTCTCTTTGTCTTTTGCTCTTGGCATTTTAATTATGATGTGTCTTGGTGTGGTCCTCTTTGGATTCCTTTTGTTTAGGGTTCTCTGTGTTTCCTGGACTTGTAAGTCTATTTCTTTCACCAGGTAGGGGAAGTTTTCTGTCATTATTTCTTCAAATAGGTTTTCAATATCTTTCTCTCTCTCTTCTTATGGAACCCCCATAATTTGGATGTTTATGCTTAAAGTTGTCCCGGAGGCCCCTTAGACTATCTTCATATTTTTGGATTCTTTTTTATTTTTTGTTTTTCTGGTTGGGTGTTTTTGCTTCTTCGTATTTTAAATCTTTGACTTGATTCTTGCGATCGTCTAGTCTGCTGTTGGACCTCTATATAATATTCTTTATTTCTGTCAGTGTATGCTTAATTTCTAGTTTGTCCCTTTTCATATCCTCAAGTGTCTCACTAGATTTATTGAGGGTCTCACTAAATTTACTGAAAAACCTTATCACCGTGGTTTTGAACTCTATATCCAATCATTTGCTTTCCTTCATTTCTGTCATTTGTGACCTGTTTCTTTGTCTCCACATTTTGGCTGCTTCCCTGTGTTGATAGAGTGGCTTTCTGTGCTAAGTATACTACAGGGCCCAGTGGCTCAGCCTCCCCAATTACCTGAGGTGGACACTCTTGATGCACCCCTTTGTGGGCTTTGTGCACAGTCTTGTTGTAGTTAAGCCTTGATTGTTGTAGGTATCACTGGGAGGAATTGACCACCAGGCTAATTGGCTGTGAGAATCAGCTGTGTCTACGGTGGGATAACTTCTCTGCTGGAGACACCCTTATGGGGCAAGACTTGCTTCAGTGGAGCTTTGGTGCTCACTGAGTCTGCCCCCTGAGTGTGTCCCTTATGGATCTGAAGAATTGTAATCTGGATGGTCCCACTCTGACCACTAGGTACACTGGTTCTGGGATCTCTAAGGAGGTGCTAATTTAGCCTCAGCCTGAGGCTACCCAGCAGGAGCTATGGAGAGATCTGCAGATTCCTCTTCTTGTTTGGGGTTTGGAGGTGCCCAGATGAGGCCCAGCCGTGAAGGAAGCAATGCAAGCTGCTGTGGGGCCTTGGGCCTTCTTTTGGATGTTCTGGGTCTCTCTGACCCAACTGCAGTTTGTTGGGTAATTTTAAATTGCAAAGGGACAGGCCATTCATATGTAAAAGCCTCTGCACACAGCTTGGGTGGGGTGGGGTCTCAGGGAATCAACAGGGCAGAACAAACAGCTATGGCTGATCCTCAACCCTACCCTAAGAAGCCCTGGGTCTCAGTGTCCCATGGTAATCGCTGCAAGCACCTCTAAGAGAAAGCCACCCTTGAGTTCTGCCTGATGCCAGACAGTCCAGTTTCTCCCCATATGAGTCTGGGTCCCCAGAGACTTGCCCAGAACTGGAGTTCAGAGCAGTCAGGAGCTTGTGACTCCCTCCCGATTGAAAAAGACAACCGCATCCTCAGTTGCCAGCCCTTGCCACGTGCGCCTCCATACCTCTGCACTTTACTTCCGCACCTCCTCTGAGTCTCAGTGTGCTTTTCTCTTTCCTTCTAGTTGTAGAATTTCCACTCAGCCAACCTTCCTGTGGTTCTGAATGATGTCCGTTTTGTCTTTTAGTTGTATTTTTGAAGTGGTTGTGTGAGGCAGCAATTTCAGGTGTTTACCTATGCCGCCATCTTGGTTTCTCCATCTGTGTACACACTTTAACAGATGATAACTCACTTAATTTTGAAGATGAATGGTATGTTAATAAATACTGACTTTATAATTATTCAAAGTTTATATACATGTATATGGGACACCCTTATATGCCTGTAAAAATCAAAGCTAGAAAGTGAACTGCTGATATAACCATGGCATCAGTTCTTTCCCAGGAAATCTAACAAGGTGAGATAAGTACCTATATGTATTTCACAAATGAAGAAACTGAGACCCAGGGAAGAGCATTGGCATCACCATGGTCATATAGCTAACTAACCGATGGCTGGGTCGGGATTCAACCCAGGCCTCCGCAATTCCGGTCAGTGCTCTTTCCTCTCGGCTGCATGGAAATTCCACACGAAAGGAGGAGTCCTCCTCACAAGCAGTCTAGAGTAGCTTTAAGAGCCCATACTCGGGAATCAGATGTAGGCTTGGGTCCCGGCTCTGACATTAACTAGCCTCAGCTCCCTCGTCTATAAAATGGGAATGCCTTCCTCAGAGGGCTGTTGGGAGGAGTGAATTAAATGATACATGTAAAGCTCAGTGTCTGACACATAGTAAATGCTCTATAAATGTTAGCTCTTATATTATTAGTTTATTCTGGGGACAACCGAAGCACAGTTCCTGTTCTCCTCCACTCATTTCCTCCAAGGTCTTTTGAAATGGATGGACTTTGCCTTGGAAACTGATGGATGATGCTAATAGTCGTTACCTCCCACTGTCCACTATCTAGGGCCCCAGCACCTTCTCCATGGGGTGGAAGGAGCTCTAACAAGAGCTAAATTTGGGATTTAACAGGTATTCCCCTCTTAAGGCATCATTTTCTCTCTAAAAAAAAATAGAGAGGGAGGGAGAGAGAGACTATAATGGGCCCATTTTTAAAGAGTGGGGAACAGGAAGGAATTAGTGTCTGAAAAGCATCGCCTCTCTGAGACAGGCTGTCTGCGGACCACAAGTGTGACTGCAGGTCCTGATTCCAGCCTATTCACGTTGACCAGATTGCTGTGGGCTGTCTGAGAGAGGAGGTGTGCCAGCCCCTCTCACAAAGGAACTTGGCTTTCTCTTCCTGACAATGGTGACCTTCAGCTGCTGTTCCTTTTCAGTTTAGTCACTTGAGGTGAAGACCCTGAGAAGGAAAGAGAAACAAAGAGGAGATTCCTCTTGGAGCTGTGGGGCTGTCCACCCCTGCCCCCCACGTTGTGTGGCCCGAGGAGGGGGATGGTCAAGCTCCACCGGTCCCTGGACAGTGCCCCAGCACAAGGGTACTTACAAAGAGAAGAAAAGGAGCTGTGTAGCTCTTTGATTTACATTATCTATTTGAAAAGAAATGTTTTTACTCCTGCTTTCTTTTCTGAGGAGGGCCATCTGGGACTGATTCCTTTTATTATTTCTGTTTCTCTGGTGAAACATCATTGAATAGTCCTATGTTTATAATGGGGTTTCTGGGGGCCTTTGCCCTCCCCCCCTCCTGCCTCCCCTCCTCCCTCAACTCTGTTCTAAGGGGTTTCACTGTGTTTATAAAACATCAGCTAACAAGCTTACTTTCCCCCCTCTCTGGCTTCCTTCTTCTGAAGTTTATTGGCCTATATTTTTTTAAAGCCTGAACCACGCCAACAGGGCGCTTGGAGGGGTTGGAGGAGGGGCAGAAGAGAATAACTTGGGCCTTTTGCAGTGAAAAGTGAGACTGTATTTTGGGTCCTGAAGAGCGTCTAATAGCTTGTGTGGTCACTGAAGCGTGGAACATTTGGGGCAACAGTTGTGCTTACAGCCTGGCCTCGCAGGCCGCATCATTTCATCAATGGGCTGAGCTTCTTCCAGAAATTTTGGCTTAAATGGCAAGCTCTGCAGAGGAAAAATATAACTGTTTGGCACCTCTTCTAAGGAGAAACTAAGTGAGACTGTCTACACGAAGTTCAGCCGCCTCCCTGCCAACTTCTCCCGGGCCCTCCAGCAGCCCATCTTCCCATGTCACACAGTTTCCTGCAAAATAAATATCATGCGGGAAACCACCCCAGTGTGATGGGAAGAGGTCACTTGAATCCTGTCCTAGGGTCTCTGTCACCCCAAAGGCCCCAGAAAGGGAGGGCAGGCCCACAGTCTAGGTAGGATCTCCATGGCAGAGCATTACGATGGCTCAGATAATGGCCCCGAGTTTCGGATGAGCAGGGACAGTGTTCTCCAGGCAGGAATCTCAGCCAGTTCAGCTCAGGTTTCCTGGAGCTGCCTTCCCTCTTTAGAACTTCCCTGGAGTTCCACACTCACTCTACCAAGTTGACCTTCAGAAGCCAGGATTAATTGATGATGAATGGCCTGGAGGTAGCCTCTCACAGTCCCGTCTGATCTTTCCCAGCCTGAACCATCTTCGGAGAACGTGGAATTCGCTCCGCTGGTTCCTGGGTCCCTCACAGACGTACTGTGTCTGAGCCAGAGCAGGACTGTGCCGCCAAGGGCCTCTCGCTAAACTTGGCGCCCTCTCTGCTTGCTGGCTGACAGTGCAGATTTATAGATCCAACCTCAAGGGCCCCTCAGAGACAGCTCGAGCCCAAAGCTGGGGTCAGGTGTTCAGGGAGCCGGAAATGCCTTTATAGGTCCTGGGACAGGAATCGCTGACTCATTTCCTGACAGATTGGAAAACTCTCTGGATCTAGGGAATTATCATAGTAGCCTAATGGGCTGGAATAATCCTTCTGAGATCCTGAGATCCTGGGGCCAGTCATGAAAATTGTATCACTATTATTATTTTTATTCCTTTTAATTACAAGGCACTCCAGCAGGTCATGCCCAAACCATTATTAAATGGTGTCCTGAGACTGCCAGAGAGGAGATTCTTTGCCTTCATTTGGCTTTATTATTTCTCCACGTTGCCCTATTTCTTTCCTTGTTTTGTTTTCCTATGTTTTAACCATTTTATGTGTTTAAATCTGTGTATGTGATGAATGTATTTTTGAACCAGTCAGATGATAAAGAAAACAAAAAGTCATCTATACCAGCCAGGAGTGATTCAAATTTGAGTTACCACTGTGTGATCTTGGGCAACTTATTTTAACCTCTCTGTGCTTCAGTTTCCTCATCTGTAAAATAAGGCTAATAATGGTATTTACCTCGAAGAGTTGTTGTTAGGGTTAAATGAAATAATATATATATAAGGTATAAAAGAAAAATATAGCACAGGAGAGGAACTAAATTAAACTTAATTGTTATTATTGCTGTTGTGTTAGCATTATTATGTTTTTAGCAGTGGCTGCTCCTGATCTCTGGTCTTCTTAGTCATCATTTAAGTCATGAAACTGAACTCCTTTATAAACCTAAATAGTAAATGAGCTTTTTTTAATAAGCTGGCCCTCAGAATACACAGCCTGTTCCCAGAGTGTTGCCATCTGTAAAGTCTGCTCTTTTGTGTCTGAGACGCTAATATACCCACGCTGGGTTTCCCAGTCTTTTGTGCAAAAGTCAAATATATTGGGTTATAAAATTTAATTGATAACTAAAGTAAAAGCATGTCTGAATTATAAATGAGCTCTGACCACAATTTGCTACTGAATGTCCTGATAGAACTGAAAAACAGCTACTGATTTCCAACAACTTACAATTTATACAGTTTATATAGTCCTTTCAAATCCTCAGTGTCTTTGGTCCTCATAGCAACCTGAGAGAAAGGTAATTCTATCATACCTGCTTTATAGATGGAAGCTCAGAGCAAGTATATGTCTTGACCGTGGTCATTGAACCAGTATATTTTGTCCTGTGACCCTTGAATTTAGGACCTCAGAGGTCAAATGTTAAAACCTTTCCTCTGCAACATAGGGCTTCCTCATGAGCTCTTATAAGGAGGCCACAAGGTAGGAATTTGTATCCACATTTTACAGGTAAGGGAACCAAGACTCAGAGAGGTAAACAGTCCATCAGCAGGTAGAGTTGAGAAGCCAGGTTTACCATTTGCTAGGTACTGCTCTCCTCCATACCACGTGGCCTCTGCACAGGAAATCTGTGTCCTTCTACTCTTGTAGAAGACTGAAGAAACCCAAGCGACACTTAGAGAAATGGAGTTACACAGCTTTATTACGCCGGCAGTCTCAGAGGAGTCGCCTCCAGAGTCTGAGCAAACCAATATGGTGGAAGCCCTTCTTTTATCCCCTTTTGGTTTCTTTGTCCCCCAAATATGGATGGGGACTTCTGGACATTTCATGGGCTTTGCAAAAAGCCCAGTGGGTTGGGATGGGGGTCTTGAGATCATATCTAAGGGACTGGCCTGGCGTCAGCACTGATAACCCCCTCCGGGATTCATGGTTTATGGCCTCTGTAAAATGTGAGCATTTAGGTAACAGGTCTTGCCAAACCAGATTGTGGAGGAAAGGGGCAGTAACTTAATTATAGGTTATCAAGAATGTACATTAAGTTACTGCACAGACTCAGATTGCTAGCCCCCCAAACATCAGGGTTACATTGGAATTAGCCTTTTAGCCTTCTCACTACCAGAGTGTGGGAAGCCCCTTTACTTCACTACGAGGTACTTTGCTTAGAGGAGCCTCTCACCTTTGCTGGTCAGATACTTACCTGTGTTCTCTTTCCTTTGTGTCACAGTGGACTGCATGGACCCCACATGTTCTGGCCGGGGCGTCTGCGTGAGAGGCGAGTGCCACTGCTCTGTGGGATGGGGAGGCACCAACTGTGAGTCACCCCGGGCCACGTGCTTGGACCAGTGTTCGGGCCACGGAACCTTCCTCCCAGACACCGGGCTTTGCAGCTGTGACCCAAGCTGGACTGGACATGACTGTTCTATCGGTAAATGTGTGTGTTGGGTGTGGAGGGAGAGAAGGGCAGGGCATGGACAGAGGGAAGATGTGTCCACTGTGCCGTGTTCACCATTTCATCCTGATCTGCCCCTGACCCTGCTCTCAGACACATAGCAGTGCGTGCCCAAGTCTCTGATGTTTTTCTTCTTTTCCTGAACTTCAGTCTTCACCCTCTACTCTTAGATGGGCAGAGGACTGAAAAACCGTATCTTTACATCATTCCTTTCATAGTGGTGGCCTTGAGAGTCAAAACATCGCCCCTAACCAGTTAATTATAATAACAGATATTTCAGAGAAATCTCATCTCTCACTTTATGGTGGTCATCTCTGGAGGCCAGGCCAAGAGAACAGTGTGCCTAGGTGAGATCTTCCAGGATGGAGCTTTGGTTTCACTCATTCCTCAGAGGGAAGTCCAAGCTCAGTGTAGTCTTTAAGGATCTCTGTGACCTGACCCCCACCTGCCTTTCTGGCCAGATCCTCTGCAAGACTGTGAGTTCCATGAAGCTAATAAACATATCTTACTCACCTCTCCATCCTTAGGACTTAGCATAGGCCTGGCCCACAGCAGTACCTAGCAAATGGTAATGAATGAATGCATGCATGCATGAATGAATGAATGAACGAAGGAACAAATGAACACATGATGGAATGTGTTCTTAATTGTGGTATTTGGTTCAACATAGGATTTATACATATAGAGTTCAAAGAATTATTATATTGGCACCCTCTGTTTGTAAGCATTTGTTGATTTATAGACCCTCTCAAGATGAGGATTAATTGAGAACAGATGTGGATCCCCTAGCCTAGTACAGTATAGGTATAATAGAGGCCCGATGCACAGATTTGTGCACTGGTGGGGTCCCTCAGCCTGGTCTGTGCCCTCTCGCAATCCAAGACCCCTTGAGGGATGTCAGAGAGCCGGTTTTGGCCCGATCCCTGCCCTTCTCCCTCCCCTCTTCCCTCTGAGATTCATTAGTCTGTTCCATGTTTCCAGGTCTGTGGTTTCTGCTCCTGCATTGAGCGCCTGCCCCCTGGTGGTCAGTGTGCGTCATAGCTACTGGCCAGTAGGCCGGTTGCTTAGGCTTTTAGTTGATAGATAGATAGATAGATAGATAGATAGATAGATAGATAGATAGGGTGTTCACCTTTAGTGAACCTTAAGTAGTGTCCGCTACTTAAATACACACACACACACACACACACACACCCTGTGAGAATGGAATCATCATCCCTCTTTTACCAATTTACATAATACTGTACTCTTTGCATACTCATTGAGCACCTACTGTGTGCTAGGTACTCTTATCAGAAGGGATAAAGAGGTAAGAACATTTCTACCTTTGTGACCTTACATGCTAACAAAAGGGGAGCAGAGACAGAAAACAAACAAATGAAGAGAAATCAATGGATAAGGCCCAGAAAATTTTAAGTAATCTTACCCAGTGACACACAGCTAAAAAGTGATAGCATCTCTAGCTAAGTGTGTTTACCCTGAATCACTTTCCCCACCACATCACACTGTTTAAACTAAGTGAAGCTCAAGTCAGCTCATTATGTTGTGTATTAACAGTCCTGGTTGTGGTCAGGAAGGTAAGACCTTTGGCAACAATGAGATCCAAGCAGCATTTGTGCCTTTGGGATACTTTGACTAACCTTTCCTGCTGACGGGAGGATTGATGCTCCATACACAGTCTAAATAGGACTTTTATCCTCGTTTGCAAGGCTTGTGTAAAGACATGATTGCAAAGACAGATGTGCAGGGCCTTAGGAATAATTCTGTTTATAGCAATATTTCAGATGGTTCTCTTAAAGCTACACTGGGTTGTATTGTTCACCAAGCTAGTTTGTGATGCATATTTAACTATCCATGCATTGTTAATCCCTGATGAGCCTCCACAGCCTCCCTTGGAGGCAGGTATAATTTTAGGTGAGATCCTAAGCATCCTTTAGTTGGCCCTGTAAAAGGAGACAACAGGACCAATGGAAGGGGCTTTGCATAGAACTGTGAGAGCTCATCTTTCTCAATTCTGTGCACCCCACTCCCCACAACTGGTACCAAGCACACGTGTGGCTTCACGTGTGAAGGCAAAGAAGCACCATGTGTTGCAAAGGGTCCCTGAGTCCAACAGACCTGGGCTGAAACACTGGCCCTGCTACATACTAGTTATAACTTCGGGCAAGTCACTTCACCTCTCTAAGCTGTTAAATGGAGATAATAATAGTACTTACCTTGTAGAGTTATTTTTTGGAGAATTATTATTTAAAGAATTATTTAAGATAATGTTAAAAAAGCACTTAGTGTGCTACTTAGCCCATGATATGGGCTCATTAAATGTTAGCTATTGTTATGATCATGATTGAAATACCCATTGCTGAGAGCCCTGGATATTAACGAAGAAATCTGATAGAGCATTTGATAGAGGCAAGATGAGATATGCCTTTCAGGAATATCGATTGTAGTTTTTAAATCTCTAACATATAACTGTCTGAAATGGTGTTATGACTGCCACAAGGCCAGGAATTTGAAAGATGGCTTCAGAATTAGTCTCCCCCTTGAAACAGTAATACCAATTTGTGTTGTAAAGTGCCTCACAGCATATAAAGATTTTTCAGCCCAGACAGTGTGGCTCAGTGCTTGAGTGTTGACCTATTAACCAGGAGGTCATAGTTCGATTCCTGGTCAGGGCACATGCTCGGGTTGCGGGCTCCATCCCCAGTAGGGGGCATGCAGGAGGGCATCTGATCAGTGATTCTTTCTCATCATTGATGTTTCTATCCTTCTCTCCCTCTCCCTTCCTCTCAGAAATCAATAAAAACATATTTTATATAAAAAAAATTTAACAGATATTTCACACATTCACATGCGCGCATGGCACACACACACAGCTATCCCTCCCCCCCCTCCCCCCCCCCCCCCCCCCCCGTCCCAATAGCAGCACCAGCCCCGTGAGGCAGCATCACACTGAGGCTCTGGGAGTTGCAGCAATGTGCCTAAGCAACACTGGTCTTGGTGCACAGCACATCATGCCGTGCTGGGAGCCCAAGTCCAGCTTGCGGCCTCAGCTGGCCTGCTGCCCAGCACTCTGTGCTGCCTCCCCACAGGCCCCGGTATCTCCTCAGCTGTCACCACCCCTCCTGAAGCCAGTCCAAAGGCCAGTGAAAGCACTTGGACGGTGGCTGTCTCTCCAGATCCCCTGCTGTGTAGGCAGTACCTGCCTGGGCTCACTCCTGTTTCTGCCATGTGCTACCTGTGTGACCTTAGCCAGATACTTGACTTCTCTTGGCTTCAGTTTCCTTATGTGAAAAATAGTTAATATCAGTGCCCACCTCAGAGGGCTATGTGATCATTAAATTATATGAGGGATGTCCGCACGTGGAACACTGCCTGCCCAGAGTGAGCACGTCCTGTCTCCCCTCTACCCCCACCTCCCTCCCAAGGGCACTCTTACTCCATGGAAGTGAAACTCATCATTGAGTTTCAGGGACCACAGCCAAGGGACCCTTCACATTCAGGGAGCTAGGCACCAGGCTTTGTTTCAGAAGACCCGCTCCCCACTATGTGAATGGCTCAGCAAGTTGCTCCACCTCCGGACCCTCAGTTTCCTCCTAGGTAAAACCACCATGGGCTTCTGTGAGAATTCAGTGAGAAAGTACAGGCGAAGTGGTTAGCACAGTGTCTGGCACAACTCAGACACCAGCAAGCGGCTACTTCAGTCGTGTTATTTGTGTTATCTGCTCCTGGCACAGCAGGGCGGGTACAGGGCCCCCCCCACCAGGGCCCTGTTTCCCATTGGTAAAACAACAGCAGTAGCATCGCCTCCATCATCATCATCACTCAAATCAGCCCAGCAGACACAGTCAGAGTGCTTCTGACTGTGGGCTTGGCAGGAATGGGCCCCCACCGTCTGGCCCTCGGAGGAAGGGAGGGAGTTATTCCCTGAGAGGAGTGTCTTGCTGTTTGGCATGGAGAACAGGATTTCATGGAAGCAGCTTAAGTCAACATGCCCTGGACTCAGCAACCAGCCTGTAATGAAATGTGAGCTAAGGTCCCCGGCACTTTGGTTAGGTCTGTGGAAACAGTGAAGTCAGGCTTTATACAAGTGCTTACTCAGACCTCTGGGTTGCCAGCAACGTAGCTTCCAGTCTCATGCCAGAAATCCTTCCTTAAATCCAGCTTCATTGTGTGTCTTCCTTCCTGACAACACACAAGATAACTGTTTGAGCAGATCCCTGCCCGCAAAGAGCACAGGTTACACAGCCCATCCCCTACCCTCAGCACACCTCTGTCCTCAACTCTGGACCCAGGGGACTTTACTTCCTCAGTCCTTTGAGGGTGATCATAGTGATGATGATGATGATGGAGGCGATGCTATTGCTGTTGTTTTACCAATGGGAAACAGTTGGGGAGGGAAATAACTTGAAAGTAATGCAGCTAATCGGTGTCAGAGTTTTAATTAAATCCAGGCCCATTGTTTCCAAGTTCTCAGCTCTCACCTCAGGCCCCCTTCCCATCCAAAGAGGTTTCCTTGTCAGTCATCTTGTCTTTCTCCCTGACAAGCCACAGGATGGAGCATTGGCTAAAAAGACACCAGTTTCTTAGTGCTTGCCATTTCCCAACTACTGAACTAAGTGCTTGACAACCGTCATCTTAGTTAAGGTTCATCAGAACCCTATGAGGTAAGTGTTCCATTTTCCAGATGAGGAACTTGAAGCTCAGAAAGTTAAATTCCTTGCCAGCATCCCTCCCACTCCCCACCCCATCAGTAAATGGCAGATCTGGCTCCAAGGACCCTCCTCAGCTCTGTGGAAAACGGAACAATGTATTGCAACCGTGCCTGGATGCTTCGTAGCTTTTGCATAGGGTGGGCACGAGCAGCAGCACTGACAGCCCCTCCCTTCCCCGAGTACTTTCGTTAGCTTTTCATCCTCTTAGCTTGGAGCTACTTCCAAAAAGGGAAGGAATTTAACCTCTTCAGGATGGTCTTTAAA